TATAAACCAACGACGCGGCAAAGCAAGCACTACTAACGACTCTCCCAAGCCTGCAGGAGAACCCAGAGCAAACCTGGGTAAGCTTGAAAAGGCGGGTCCACCAAGTCGCACACATGGCTCTGGGTAGCACAAAGCCAGGAAGGAAAAGGATTAATTAAGAAACGTGGTGGTAGAACGATGTAGTACAAACGGTAATAAAGGACAAGAGGGATGCCTACAGGCGATGGGTCAAAATCGGAAGCAGATCGTCAGACAAACCAACAAGCCAACCCCGCTGCGAAAGCCTCCGTAAAGAAGGCAAAACAGGTGTACATGAAACAGCTCTACGAGAGACTGGAGTCTCGCGAGGCAGAACGAGATATATAGGAATAGCCAGAAGAAGGCAGAGTCCACAAAGGATATGGATCACTTCCTCCACATCAAAGACAATTTTATTAGGACGCTAAGAACACCGGCGGACATCACTGAAAGATGGAGAACCTACTTCGAAGAAATGGCCAACACAAGCCGCAGCGTCAACTTCACCCCAAAAGCTGATCCCGCAGATGGACCGTATCACCAGTTACGAAAAAGGAGGTATGGCTAGCTATAACAAGAACGAAGAATGGCAAAACGACTGGTCCAGATGACATACCAAGCGAGTTCTGGAAAGTATGTGGACAATCCGGGGCTTCCAGGCTATCAGGCATCCTCAATCAGATCATAAGAAGCAAGAGTCTGCCTCGTGATTGGTACACTAGCACAACGATTCCGATATGGAAGAACAAAGGGGACGTCGCAAACTGTGCATCCTACCTGCCGATCCATCTGATGAGCCATACTCTAAAGATCTTCGAGCGGATAATCGAAACGCGGCTTCGTGATATCATAGAGTTGTCACCAAATCAGTGCGGATTTGTGAAAGAAGTAGGTACAAACGCCATCCACTCCGCTCGGATAATGATGGAGAAATATAGACAGAAGCAAAAGGAGTTACATGCAGCCTTCCTGGACTTGGAATAAGCCTTCGATAAGGTGCCTCATGAAGTCATATGGTGGGCCCTACGGAAGCACATGGTCCCAGAAGAGTACGTCCAATGGATGAAGTTGATCTACCACAACGCTTCAAGTCACGTACAAACAGCTGCAGGGCAATCGAAAGAGTCCCAAATCAAGGAGGTTGGAGTACACCAAGGGTCAGTCCTCTCTCCCTTGCTCTTCATCACTGTAATGAACGCCATAATGGAACCACTCAGACGTGAACCTCCTTGGACACTTCTCTACGCAGATGATGTGGTTTTGTAAGAAGCACCAGAAAGGCGTTGCAAGACGAGGTACAGAAATGGAAAGACAGGTTAGAGTTGTATGAGCTGAAGCTCAACACCAAGAAGACTGTGTATATGGAAGTGGGGAAACAGACTCCAGGAACCATATGTAACGATGGTGAAGAGCTAAAGAAGGCAACGTCATTCAAGTACCTAGGCAGTCACATCTCGGCAGAGGGAGGCTTGCAAGAGAAAGTCGCAGGCAGGATAAACACAGCGTGGATGAAATGGAGAGCGTTAACGGGAGTTCTCTGCGACAGGCGAATGCCAGTACAGCTCTAGTCCCAACTGTACCGAACCGTCATCCGTCCAGTGGCCCTCTATGGTAGTGAGTGCTGGCCATGTACGCGAAATGAGGAGCGCAAGCTCGGTGTCATGGAAACAGGGATGCTACGATGGATTTCAGATGTCACACTGGAAGACCACATCTGCAATGACACTATACGAGCCGAATGAAAGTGGCCCAATTGCCCAGGAAATGCAGGAAAAGAGACTATGATGGAACGGCCATGTACGGAGAGGGGAGGAAAGCCACATTGCGAGGCTAGCCCTGGCGTGGAAGCACCAGGCAAGAGACCCAAAGGTTGACAGTGGATGAATAGGATCAAGGCCGACCTGCGAGAACTTGAGATAGATGAAGATCTTGCCTCAAATAGGGAGATATGGAGACAACTGACAAAGAAAGCAGACCCTGCATAAGCGGGACCCATGCGAGGATAAAAAAAACCATGGTTCCATCAACATGTACGGTTTTGATATCTGGCAGGTGATGGTGCTTTTGAAAGGACGTCTAATCTGCAGCTTTCGATGGTGTGGACAGTATTATAAATAAATCAGAGGAGCGATAGGGCAGCGGCTGGCACCTGCCATTGCCTATATGTCAAAAATCGAGAGCCCCGTACTTGCGCACCAACCAATACTTTGTTGCCGCTAAATAGTTGATTGTTGTATAGTCTGTGTAACACATGACAAATAGACACTTGCTTCGATCTTCTAAACAACAAATCCCCGCACATAAAGTTTACGCGAAAGAAGCCCCGCCAAAAACGGCTGACTTTTCTTAACGTATAAGTGCGATTGTATGATGGATCATGCAAGACCAAGTGGTTTGGAAAACCAAGCAGCAAAGGTGTATTAGTACTACCTCTCGAACCATCTTGGAGCAGGAAAGGTCGGTAATCTGTAATATGCTTAGAGCTGCCAAGGCAATTTCCTCCAATCCCCAATCTTAAAAAGCGACTAATTCGTAATCGCTGTTCACCGATTACGCACATGAATACCGATTGCCCCCTCTGACCATTTGGTCAACCAGGCGATTGCATGGAGGCAGGAGTAGTCTACCAGATGACTTGTCAAACCTACGGGAAACAGTACATAGGAAAGACTGGCAGGTCTCTATGTGTGAGAATCAAAGAGCACCTTGATGGTCTTAAAAATGTAAATCCAACATTCCCCTAAGCGCACATCGCACAGAAGAACATGCCACAATCTTAACACGTGAACCCGGAATTGTCTTTCGTAAAACGCTGGAAGCATTTTAGGTAGCTTCCAAAGCTCCTGTAATGTACCGCAAGGAAGAGGGCATTGCCATGAATAGTGATCTAGTCTCATACCAGTCCGTTGCAAATTCAATGTACACCGATGTTAGAGTCATCTATATAAGGCATAAGGCATTTACTGGTTTCCGTTAGTACTAAGTGCGCAGACGCTGTGTTTGGTGGTTGCTTAACCCTGATTCGAAGAGTGCCGAGGTGAGCACTGACGATGGTTACCGTCACTGCTTTCAGACTAACCTAATGTTGAATGTAGCCTTGACTTGAACGAGGTGTTTGGAAGAACAAACACTAATGTATGCGACCTTCCAGGCTCCGACGAAGGGCAAGGCACTGAAACATTAGCCTGACTAAATAAAGCGTGTTAGCAATCTTGATTATCGGCAATAGAATACGTATACAAACAATTACCTCATGCCAAGATTCATATAATAAGTTTGAACTTTAAGCAAAAAGAAACGTTTTCAGCACCTTCTATTTCTGCTTATAAAAAAGCGTTTTTTCACAAAGTGGTTAATGGTTACGACCTACTTCAATTGCGCTTGAGCATGAGACATGAAAGTGATTTGCTCCGACTAAGGGTTAAACAGGGTTCTCCTGAACAAGAAAAACCAACTTCTCTTGAAACTGGGCTTTTTGCAGCAGGACTTCCTCGGAGGAAAAATGGATGACATAAACTTTAGTAACTCAACCTCGGCCGAATAGGTTTTGTCATACAGAAGAAAAACGCACAAAGGACATATCGAGGACTTTTCCTGCACGCCAAATGTGACCCCCTCCCCTCCCCCCTACGGTAGAGTTTAACGAAACTTTTTGTTCTTGCGAGACTCGACTGGGAGGTGTAGCACCCAATGACTTCTCATCGGCTCCGATGCTATTTGTTCCACTCAAACTATATAAACAGCTCTTGTTCCGATTTGGAAATGGATTGTAGGTGCTGTTGAAATGACTTTTTGAGGACCATACGCGCTGCCCTACAAAAAATGGAATCAACAGTCCGGCGTTGAAGTGTCGGAGGGCCGTGCACTCCAGGAAAAGCATACAGGTGCTCCAAAAAATGTGCCTATAGTTTGACTGTAAATAACTCTCATGTCATTGCATCTTTCGAGAAGTTTAGGTGCCATTTTGTAGAGCTGGCTTCAACTTAGATTTTGAGCAAGAAAAGAGTTACCGATCTTTCTTTATTACTGTAAAATTACGGTAGGAAGTTGCAACATATGGCAGCACTGTGAGTAGGCCTTTCGGAAAAATGTTTTTAAAGAATTTTGAGAAATTGTCAGTTTCTATGCATGCTGATTTCACTAAATAACTTTTTGCGCATTCACAGAGCTTTCTAAATAAGCAATCAAATTTTCAGCAGATATCGGAATGGTTGTAACGGTATATCTGGCATAACTTGACCAAGTGTGGGAGTCTTCCTCAATCTTTTTTTAGGGATAAAAGTATGACCCTACGCGAAACCTTCTACCATAATCTTACAATAATGAAAAAAAGCAGTATATTTGCTTCCTACTGTAAATGTAAGTTATAGCCAGCTCTATAAAACGGTACCCAAGCATTTTCAAAAGAATTCATGACAAGAGAGTTTTTAACGTTCAAACGATAGGCACATTTTTTTGGGAGAACTGTATTTGTGGCTAATTTCTTTCATTGAAGATGATTTTTAAAATTTTTTATACAAAGACTACAGACTTCTAAAACCCTCTTTTACTCTCTCCTCCCACGAATTGTTAATGTATTTGGGCTTTGGCTTCTTACAATAATCTTTTCTCATTAACTTCTTTCGCAATCGTCAAGCGAGACCGAACAAATTCCTGCCTTGCTGATGAGGACACTACACATTGCTTCGCACTGAAAATAAAATAAAGATACGAAATAAAGATGTTGTATAATGTGCGGCTTCTTTGCTGATAATTACCATTTCTGATAAAGCAAAGACAATTAAAGCAGCACCATCGAAAAAGTTCTGGCTGTAGTCATATCTTGACAGCTGTACGGTAATATGATTACATTGCTGATAGATGATTGCAAAACAGTGTACGCACGAAAATTACTAAACAAAAAAGAGTTTCAGCGATAAAATTTTATTAATATGGTATAAAAGCTGACGCAACCCCAAAAAAAGAGCGCACGACAAGCAGCTATGATAACGTTTGTCGCTCTCTTCATTGCATCTTTGGTGAATCCTATAAGGTTAGTTTCGGTTTTGTAATCACTGGAAAATTTGCAGGGGGGCTGCGAGCGGCTTTTGCGATGACACAATGATAAAAGAAAAAAGTTGCCGTCTTGTTTAGCTCAAATTCAGTATTCAAAACAATGAAGGTGCATTATTGAATAGTATACAGTAACAAAATTACTTAAAGGTACCAGTAAAAATGAGTATATACGTGTAAGTAAAGCTGAGTGTTTGTTTGTCTTTGCGTGCTCGTACGTTCCGGATAAAAGCTTTTATTTCTGAATCGATTCGGGCCAAACCTGGCACACATACACTTCGGGGCGGGGTCAGAGGCGGCATCATCAATCGATATCGACTTCACGATTTTCGCAAAATTTCATCTACAACGCTGGGAGTTGGCACATGGGCTCGAGCACCTCAGACAAAGGCTCTCAGCCGGCAGCCACAAAGCCACCGCCTAGACCCACCAAAAGCGCGGTGGCCTTATCGCCTCACTGTCGCTTCCCGCTGAGAACCGTGTCAGAACTGGCAGCGAGCCTGCCGCTATAAAGTCTTTAGCGCGAAGCGAAAGCGACGGTTATAACAACTCAGACAATCACAGGCTCTCAGCCGGCGGCGATAAAGGGCAGTTTCACTGAGCGGGCGGCGATACTGCAAAAGTGGCAGTGAGCGGGCGACGACATTGTAGGAATGGCGGTGAGCGGGCAGCGACGGGCTACCAGCGGGCAGCTATAATCTTCCATGAGTCAGAAAATAGCTGCAGAGCGCATTCATTCCTACAAAAGCAGCCAAAAGGCGACGATGAGGCAGCGACTCCGTTAAGCTGGCAGCGACCGTGAAACGATGGGGCTGTGAATACAAGATTTCTGTCAGCGGGCCGCATCAATGCTATGAGAAGGCAGCCTTAATTCATAACGCCGTATTGTGGCTGCCAACTGGAAGCCATATCGTTGCCCGCTCGAGACATTGTTGATCGCACCAGAAAAGTTAGATGTGCAGGCAAACGAGATTGGCAGCGTGGGCTCGCGTCATTTTTTCATTTCTTGTTGCCTAATCTTTGTTTTCATCTTTGCTTTTCTTTGTTTTCATTTTCGTTATCATTCAGTGCTTCATTTCAAGTACTAGTGAACCAGTACCTATATAGGCGCTGTTTGGAAGAGCGTTTGCTTCGGGACTCGTCGTGGTTCCCCGCTATTTGAAGATTTTTGAATTGAGCTAACGATTCTTTATATATCAGATTTCTTTTGTTCTCTATGTTTGACTGTCCATCCAACCGGAAGAAGTGCTTAATGAAAGCCCCGTTTGTTTTTGAATCATAACATCCACTGCACAATGTAATAAAAACTCTTTTTCAAACTCTCTCGAAAGCCGTAAAAAACCATCTATTCACTCATTTTACGAATGTAAACATAAAAGTGCCTTTCTCTCAACATTTTCGCCGCTGTCACATCATTCGACTACAAGCGTGCTCTCTTTGCGCTCAAAGATCTGCATCATTGCGTTTCGCATGCGTCCATTTTCGAAATGCTTATTGATTAGAGGGCGTCGCTATGCTTTGCTTATTCAATCCTGTGTTTATAATTGCACAGGATGCACGAAACACAGTGCGCACCTTTTCAATGATGTACCGTCGGTTCATTTCATATGATCATGTGTGCCATCGCACACACCGTCCATCTTTGGCGTACCCATCCTGGATTCTTGGAGGACGCAACCCTTCCGTTAAGCGATTCTGATGTTTTCTCGCTGTTTTCTTTTCTTTTTAGGTACTATTTATCTCTAAATGGTGTAAGCGATAGCAATTGCTCACTCTCTCGCGTTTTTGCGATCGCAAATCCGAGATGGGGACGCCAAAGATGGACGGTGTGTGCGGGTGCACACATGATCATATGAAATGAATCGACTGTACTTGTACAGTGAGCACATAAAAGGTTTACAGTTTTACGGAAAATTGTTTGGCACGCAGTCGTTCGTCAACGCAGCTATCGTCGATTCGTTGACCGTACGGACTGCTGAAGCGCTGCGGACCACATGCGGCGCGGTTAACATGTTGCGAGAGCACGAACAATGGCGATCTTGTATTGGAGCAAGCGTTTTACCTCGCGGCGCGTGCTCCGCGGTTATGTCCAGTCCGCGCAGTCAACGAATCGACGATAGTTATTTACAGCTGTGATGTGGAACTAGTTTCTGTCTCTTTTTATCGTCAAGGCTTGATAAAGTCTCCCTACCTCCTAGAAATGAAATTAGGGCTTCTCATACTTCCACTAATTGCTGTACCATATTTGTCTTGCGTTTCTCTCTGTCTAATGTCTGTCTTTGAGACATCTATATATTTCCAACTACTCTCTCTTTTGCAGGCATTTCATGATGTTTGTAATCGTAGTCAACTACAGCTTCTCTTAGACGCTGCAGTCACCGACGAAGACGCACACAATTCCAGAGGAAGTGTTGCACAACATAAGGAAAATGGGTTTGGATCAGAACTGACAGTTGCCTGAACAATACTCAGGCGCGAATGGATTGTTGATTCGCATGAGAGACCCCTGCATTGCGCGCTAACACTGGCAGTTCCTCACTCATGTTTGTGAATATATTTATCGTGGTGGAATGTGTATTGCTTTGTCGCCGCTCCCCATATGGATCGTTTTATCAATGTTTGTACCCTCAAGGTCTATTATCAGCATATTTTCTGTTCTAAAGAACGTAAATCTATGCGTGTGTATCACTGCGTACTTGCGTACTCATCCACTTAACTGTTACTTGCCATTTCATTAGTTATAACCTTTATCCAGAGTTTACAAACGTGGCCGTACATAGTCATAGTATACGATCTAAGCTAACCTCTAAGCTTTTGGGCTACGGACACTTCCTATCTTTTAGGAAAGCGGGAAGCGGCAGTGAGGCGATAAGGCCACGGCGCTTTTGGTGGGTTTTCGCGGTGGCTTTGTGGCTGCCGGCTGGAAATCTTGTCTGTGTAGCTTCTTGTTATGCTTGGACTACAACGTTGTAACTTCAATTAATTCATTATAACGATGGCAAGTAACAATGAAGAACATAACCATCTGGGGCCATATCTATCTCTCCTTGTGGTCATATCTCCAGATGGTTATGTTCTTCATTGTTACTTGTCATCGTTATAATGAATTAATTGAAGTTACAACGTTGTAGTCCTAGCATAACAAGAAGCTACACAGACAAGATTTTCAGCCGGCAGCCACAAAGCCACCGCGAAAACCCACCAAAAGCGCCGTGGCCTTATCGCCTCACTGCCGCTTCCCGCTGAGAACTGTAGAAGCGAGCGGGCTACAAATATGGCAATGAGCGGGAGGCTAAAGCTGGCAGCGGGCGGACTGCTATGAGGGCCTCAGCGGGAAGCGAAAGTGGCCGCGATGAGGCCACCGCGCTTTTGGTGGGTTTTCGCGGTGGCTTTGTGGCTGCCGGCTGAGAGCCTGTAATTGTCTGAGAACCCGCTCGCTGCCAGTTCTGACACGGTTCTTAGCGGGAAGCGACAGTGAGGCGATAAGGCCACCGCGCTTTTGGTGGGTCTAGGCAGTGGCTTTGTGGCTGCCGGCTGAGAGCCTTTGATTGTCGGAGATGCTGATAATGAAAATCTTATTGACAGAGCCGGGCGGAGCCGGGTCTGAGTTCTAACCTATAAGTCAACGAAATCTTCAAATTCATTATTAATGACTATTCTTCAAGAGAATAGGTTTGGTCTCATTGTATTAGATTACCAGCACAACTTTGAAGTGCTGTCATTGATTTTGAAAGAGGAAAAATGGCTCAGAAAATGGAGAACTGCATTGATTCCCCGGCTTGATAGAGGAAACAGCTTGAGAGAGAAGTCGTACAAGCCGCATTTTCCACCTCTTTGTATGATCTCCTGATGATTCCCCGTTGACCGTCTTTTCTCCAAAGTCACTTTCATTCAATGCAGTCATTTCAAAGCTGTACTGGTTTTCTCGCCCATGTTAAGCATGTTTCTGATAAAAACAAATGAATTACTGAGATATTGAGATTATCAATAAACTCAACTTCCGACTAGTTATCGCAACTTCCATGACTTCGAACATCATTTGTTTATATTGAAAACACTGCTTAGCACTGCTGATCAGAAAGATGGTAGCATAAACACTTGCGGATAGTCAGAACGCTTTTATTCAGGTCACTTGAGTTTTGGGATACGAAGCATTCTTTCGAGCTGCGTTCCTCTTCCCAGCGTGATGTGTACTTTGGGGCCGCATGCATTAACATCCGCAGAGGAGAAGATCGCAGCTTTAAGGAAAGTTTCATATCCTAAAGTTGCAGGTATCTGGATTTCACGCTTCCTATCCAACCGGATCCCGAATCCTGCATTATAAACATATTCAACAGAAGCGAAAAATTGTTCAAGACGTATTCTTCAGCTTTTTCTATGATCCCCTGATGATCCCCTGCGGCCGACCGTCTTTTTTCAAAGTCATTCTTCTTTCTTCGATTTCAGTGAGAACATTCCAAAGTGATGCTGTTAAACTAACTCAACAGTGCTAAGTTTGTTTTTGACAAGAACAAATGACTTACCAAAGTTATGAAAATTGCGATGAACCAGTTTATCGAAAACTTCAGTATTACGATAACTCATTTGTTCTTATGTTAGATAATCAGTACAACTCCGTAATGTTTTCATTAACTTTAAAGAAGAAAAATGACATTGAAGGAAAGACAGTTGGCCTCCGGAAATCAGGATTGTACAAAGCTGAAAAATACGCTTGTACAGCTCCTCGCTCTTGTTCGGTATTTGCATAGTGAAAAATATTAGGGAAACTTATGGATGGATTGATAAGAAAAACGATCGGTCGCTAGGCATCATCGATGGAGGGACCATGCAAGAAATTGAAGAATACTGCTTGAAAGGCGTTATTTGAGATTTGATTCAAAGTGTAGACATAAAGGATGTAGAATACTTGAAGATGAACAGGCGTCGTGGTTTCATACCCTGGTGTTCGGGGAACTTTCTTTTTAGTCGCGTTCCATGCTCGTGTATGCAGGATTATTATGTAAGCTTCCTGCATCGTACATTCGAGGAGCAGGATTAGTGAAGGTGAAAAGATGTGAGATGGTTTGGGAATTGCTGAGCATGATCAGAAATCTTCGAACACCCTTGCTGAAAATCGCTTATCATATAAGGAAAGCTACCCAACCTAGCTCGGCTTTTTGGTAAAAGGCATAGATGTTCTGAATAAGCTTCAAACGCTGATTCCAAATATGCTATTTCTAGCTGCCACGCACCATTCCGAAGCGAGTTATGGGCTTTTTCCTGCGCAAAATTAACATACTACTGAACATGAGAAGACTGGCTGTAGATATAAATCTGCAAGAAAAAGGTGCTGAGGTATCGAAATAGTACAGATCCAGTCTTTTTTCACTAGAAAAGCTTCACGTAGATGTATCAGTACTTAAATGATAATAACGTGATGCCAGTGACTCGATGAGCATGCCAATTTTGCGCAGGAAAAAGCCCATAACTCGCTTCGGAATGGTGCGTGGCAGCTAGAAATAGTATATTTGGAATCAGCGTTTGAAGCTGATTCAAATATATATGTTACTTGCGAAAAAGCCGAGCTAAGTTAAGTAGCTTCCCTTGTTAGATGACTATTTTATACCAGACATGCCTACATAGATAAGCGTTTACACTTGAACGTCACTCATGAAATAACGTCTAGTGCACTCAGCGTTATCGCACTGACTCATAAAGGCAGCGTTTGTTGCTTGGACGTTCCATCAGCCAACCTGAGGTGGATACAAAGTGACTCAACTTACATTGTGGAGAAATTTTTTTTGGATGTGTGAAGCCACCTATTTTGCATCAGAAAATCAAAAATACTTGTATAGAAAATTTGATCCGTTTTTCCAGCTTTTAGATGGAGTAATGACGAGTTCGACACAATTCATTGCTTTGAGATCTTTGACATTACTGCTCTAGTATTGTCAAAACTCTTCAAGCAATGAATGTTTCTTGACTTTACTTCCGTCAGTGTCTTTATAACCTTGTTCAAAGTTAAATGAACAATTTGGGTGTTTTACCAGTTTAAAACATAATTCTATTATAGCAGCCAGACGGAACCAGGAGGTTACATCAGGTTGATTGGCCTTGAAATTTTTTTGAGTCAGTTATCTCTGCATCAAATTCTACGCAAAAATGATGCTATGTTATCGTGACTTAAGTTTTCGCGTTGAAATTTTTCTACAGGATACCGCGAAAGTTGAAAAAATGTGCAAGAGCAGACAATGTTCTATAGATCAGACGCCAAATCTGAAGTGCTTTTAGTGGCGCCGCTGTTTTTAACGCACCTTCAAATGACACCGGCGATGTCTTAGCGCTGACGATATCACCACAAATCTGGCAGCTCCTCGTGACTAATGAAGAAATGATCAAAGATGCTGTGAATTCTATAGAAGTGCCCGAAATCAATGAAGAGGTTTAGCTTAATGTGTTTTGTTTTGCTGATGAGATACTAGTTCAGCACCAGCTTGTTGTAGATGATGCTGACAAAGTATAGAATATGGAACGTAACCGTGGAGGAATTTTCGTTTTCAAACGAAAGCATCTCTTTCAAGGATATGAAGGACGGTGTGCGCCTGATTGTGAGTGATGATGTTGAAAGTTTTCCACTATTTCCAATTCTGTTCCCTTAATAGTTAAACGACGTACCTACTTCAACACTACTCAGGTACAGCGCCGACATCAAGTGCAAATTCTTTTTGAGAAACCCAGTAATTTTCTGTTGAATTAATGAAGGAGGAGCTACGCAGAGTTTCAGCTCACTTTTGCCTTTCATTGAAATGCCTCAAAAAGTAAGCTTTCCTCCATACATTCCAGATAAATGACGTGCTGGTCCACGTAGGTATGCAGGCTAATGTACAAGTTGGGAAGAGAATTTTTGGAAAATGGGTCAAAGTATTGAGCCAAACTGGTGACATCAGGTAAGGTTTAATCAAACTCAAATCAACTCGACTTCGATCTTCGCTCATGTGCTAAAAAAGTTAGAAAATTTCAGATCAGCTTTAGCAGCGTTCGTCTTTCACGCGCTCTTTACTATTGCCTTGATGGCAATTTATGCCGAGTAAGTCAGGAACAGCTGTTGTGTCTGAATGACTTAAATGGCTTCAGGTAGATTACTAGATACCTTCCAAGTAAAAGGATGAAAGGATAAAGGGTTTGGCGTAATCAATGTCCTCTGCGGGCATGCGCCGAATGCACTTTACTTCATGGTCGAAGAGGCTACTGAATGTGTGCGAGCCTTTTACAGTGACTTGCGGGGGGGGGGCAGCCCATTACCAAGTCAGTGCTTTTATCCTCCCACAGTACTCTGGTACCAATTTGGTCCCCGGAAATTATAGGGCTTAGTGCGTCCAGGGACGTTGATCGAACCTGTGTCCGATCTGTTCATAACGGCGCATACCAGTACGCCACTCCCCTTCGGCTTCCAACTAAGCTCTTGCAACTACGTAGGCTCTCTAAGAGCGCAATCTGTCAATGTCCCAAATATGTTTTATCACACTTGAGTCCATGTAAAAGGAGGCACTGCTTTGGAATTGGCGATTAGAAGTGAAAAAAGGTTTACGCCTTTGATACCTGAATTACTTCAAGAGAAGCAAGGGTACCACTGTATTTAGAACTGTTTATCGCAAAGCGAAGCGCTGAGCAACAACAACTTATATGCGGAATAACCACTGGCGATAGTGGGGTTAGACGAACCTTGAGGCAGTGGAAAAGCACGGCTCCTAATTAATGGAGCGCTTTGAGTTTCATCGAAAAAGATGCGTTCTGAAGCGAGAAAATTGCTTCGGACACACGGAAACAGCTCAGACAATTGCATCGGAAAGTTCGCGGCCTCAAAGCGTGTTACATGGCGCGCCGCGGCCCTTAAAACTTCAGCCGCACACGCCGCGGCCCATGTGTATTTTACCGGGAACGCCGCGGCCAAAGTTGATATCGGAAAGAGATTACCGGGAAGGTCGCGGCCCAACCACCTCACTCGGCGGGCCGCGGGCCCTATCAAAGGTCGCACTTCTTACACGCTGTAGTTTGAGGCGCAACCCTCGTGAGGTACGTCGCAGCGATGGGGCTACCCTAAGTGTTTATGAGGCTGGGTATCGCTTCTCCGATTTGGTCCTATCTGAAAGAGTTGAGTTCTTATGCTGATGAAATAAACTTCAGCAGTCGGATGAGTGATATCGACGACATTAGATGATGTCGACAGATGAGCTAACAAGTTGCTCAATCTGTGCTCAAGTCGTTGTCATGAAAGACACGCCAAAAGATTTTTCACTCTTCCTAGGCCTCACAAGCATGCTAATCGGGTCAACTATCGGGCGCTTACAGGGTGCACCGCGGTCACTTAGCGGGTCCAATTTCGGTTTATACCGGGCAGCTCGCGGCATGGATGATTGGTGGTCGAGCAAGCACCCGCGAACTTCCCGATGCGATTGTCTGAGAGGAGGCGGTATTCCGACCATGCCTTCAATCGGTGGGATCCCGCACAGTGATCGCCCATCCAATTGCCCTCCCAGAGATTCCGTTCCGCGCGTTTTCTGGCACGAAAATTGTCGGGACTGCAAATACTAAACTTCATGTGTGGAACGTAAAGGTTTTTTTTGTAAAGGCTCCGGAACGATAAAAACAATGTTATGCAGCTTGCTTGTACTGGCCACTTCGACTCGACCATTTTCTTCTAAACATGGTGGAGTGTGTGATTTGGGACTGCAAGCAATCAGTGAACAGTAGATTGTCGAGGATAACTTCTCAGAAAAGCTTGATTCATAGAATTTCATCATTTTCTTTGCTCTGCTATAATTATGAATTATGGGCAAATATGGAAGGATATTGCTGCAGATGATAAAAATGACAGTAGCGCGTGTTCAATGTGACGAACAATTCAGGACAACGTTAGCACATATTTCTCAAAGTTTGTGAGCAAAGATTGAAATTGAGTACAGAGCTTTTCATTCTAGATTCAAACTAATTTTGTTTTAATGCAGCGTTTTGTCGAAAGGGTCAACCTTCGACGTTGCACTGACCTGGAGTGATTTCAAATTCCGTCCTTCAACAAAAGTGCACTTGAACTTAGATATCAAGTTGACAAAACATCTACGTATATACAATCTCTTAACTCCGCTTGTTGAGAAGACTATATCCTTTATATCCAAAGTGGCACTTCCAATAAAAGTAAGCGATTTTTTGGTACATATTGCTTTAGCGTTGATTGCACTACGAACTTTCAGGTGAAGCAACTGGTTGAAAAGGAGTTGAATCCCCGCCTGCAAAGAGTAAAACAACTTATAAAAAGCAACGACATCTTCAACGTCACCGATTTTGATGATAAATGGGCAGTGCAACTCAATGTGCAGCAAGGGCACATGCGTGTGGCTTTGAAGCCAAAGAGGTACAAATGTTTCTGAAATCTAACCACACGGGTAGAGTGGATTTTTAGAAGAAGATGCTACAATAAAGCTTCTCACTGCAAATTTTTCAGAGCAGTAGTAAACAAGTTTTAGTATGTATTAAGTTGTCTAAAAAATGGACCGTATTTAAAACACGCTTTTGTTTTCTCAGCAGACTTAGGGTATGAATCGATAGAGCGAAGCAAGCTTTACAAATGACCACTAAAGATCCGTCTAAGTCGTAATACAAAGTTTTATCAACCAAATATTAGATTACCGACCTCCAACTTGGTCATTATACAGTAAACACATAGCAGTACTCGAACAAGCCTTCGTTAAATTCCGCCCAGAGAAAGCAGAAACAGAAGGTAGTTTAAAAATGGCAAACTTGCCCCCACTTATGTCATTCGTCACTTGTCTACAAGCCTTAGTACGTATAAACTTGAAATTTTACTTCTGCATATGCCCTGATTGAGAATACCAAGCTTAACACAAAAAAACAAAAAAGTAACATTTTTGCATTTTCGGGCTGTTTTGATTTCTCAATATTGAGCCCCGGAAAAATCCAAATTCATCAAATACATTCTTGGGTACTACTATGCGCCTACTTTGTAAAAATCAAGCTGGAGATTCGTAGGAATTTTTTGGTGAGGGATCCGATTTTTAGAGTAGTTGAAAAAAATCAATTTTTGGCTTTGAAATTTTACTTGAAAAGACTTAGACAAATCTTTTGCGGTCGTATTGCAGGGCTTGCTTCCCTTTATCGAATATTAACCAAAGTCTACCGGAAAAACAAAAACAGATCAAATTATTTAGGAAAGGTGTTTAATCTTGGGACATCTAATATGTTCATGTTTGGAATGCAAATCTGTCCTTTCATATCTTTATACAGTTTTCACTAGAGTTCGAATTTCGTAAACTTGTGGTAGTGATAAAATAGTCTCTCGACTCCTTTCTTCTCTCTGCTCTTTCTCTGCTCTTTCTGGAACTCGTACATCGAAAAATAAGACATGAAGAACGAAAGCGCCTTCAGTAGAATGATACGATGACAACAGTGAGGTGACGCTCAAATAATATCAAAAAATTGTGAGATTCTAAGGAGATACAAATGTTCTCGGAAAACCGACTACTGTTCCTTAGAATATCGCAATTTAGCAATCTCCATGCCAAGTGCACTGTGCCGTTCAAAGGCGTCGCTTTCAGTGTAATTCTGATTTTATAGCTAACCCGGCTTGTAAAGTGAAGAAGTTTTCGACCGTTCTTAGTGTAGTCTAAGTTCTATTGTTTTCAGGACATGAACGCACTTAATAGAATTGCTAAGCAGCAAGTGAATCCTCGCCTACGATTTTACTTGTTCAGCATGAAGCAAACAGTTTCACCTGTGGTGCCAATCAACAAAGTCATGTGCGTCAATACCGATTTACGCTTGATTCGTTCCGCAGTTCTGTCTGAAAAACAGCGATTGATGACTGCATCGAAGGCGGTGAAGGTGAGCGAAATGGTTCAAATGCAAAAGACTACTTAAGTGTACATTTAAGTCAATCAGCGAACTGGAGTTTGACTGCCTCGCCCCACAATTTAAATGCAGAGGGTTCCGTTGTCAATTCTGCACCGACATCGAAATTGTTCCAGCAGAAACGAGTGAAGCTGATCTTTTCTACAATTGTCTCTCGTTTTGATTGCGAAGTAAACTTATCTTGAGCAGCTGTTTCACGATTTTTTAAAGAATGTTCACGCAGGATAAAGTTGCTAACGAGGGAAGCTTACTAACTAAGCTCGCGCTTTTGGAATAAGACGCATATATTTGGAATCAGCTTCGAACGGTGATGCCAAATATGCTGTTCCCAGATGCCGCGCATCATTCGCAACGGAGTTATGAGGGCCTCCTCCCCTATGACTCGCTCCACCGTCTAGTCTAGGGGAAAGCAACAATGACTGCCAGAGGTCGTGTGGTGAAATGGTAAGTGTCTCGCTCCATAGTCTGAGGGTTCGGGGTTCAAGTCCTGTTGCGTGTTCGTCTGTTTGCAAATGCAGTCCACAAACCCAAACATGGTTCACAAGTGTTCATTCTGCATCTTAGGTGAGTGGGGTTCAGAGGTGCGATGGGGGGGGGGGGGGAGCCGGGCCCACCAAAAGTGAAGGTGGTCCCAGCTACTACTGGCCGGCCAAAAGTGAAGGTGGTCCCAGCTACTACTGGCCGGCCAAAAGTGAAGGTGGTAGTGCAGGACACTCACCTCTTAAAAACGTCGACCGGGGGGGGGGGGGTGGAAAGCATTAACGTCTATCCTTCCAGGTCATTGCAGTGCGCGGGAAATAAGTAAAACAAATGCAAAAGGGATCATTGAAAGCATATTTTTATGTATACAGCGTCATGCATATCTAAAGTAAATTTGCTTATTAAATAGTGTATTTGGAAGTAAAACTTAGCAGAACTGTACGTATTTTATTAATTGAGGCAGTAACCGCCGAGAACCAGGACTTTGAATGATAAAATTATGAAAAATCGTAAAAAGTCGTTTCACTGTTACAAATCTGCTGGCTGAAGACCTCCGCGGTTGCGACTTCATAAGTTTTGAAGGGTAAGTGTTGTTCTACCAGACAATGAATGAATCAGTTTGATTCGAGGAGTGGCCGCCGAGAACGAGAATTTTGAAAACCCTTAAAAATCTCCTCAATTTTAGGTTGCTCAATGACAACTGACATTTAAACTCTTATAAATCCGGACTTTGAAGGTGTATGATGTTGCGACTTCATAGGTTTTCTAAAGTGAGGTTTGCCCTATCAGAACATGTCTTAGCTGTACCGATCCATTGAAACATCGCCGAGATCCAGGCTCTTAAAAAAGCAAGTAAAAAACCGTTTTTCAGCTCATAACTTCTTCAGAACTGCATGAATCATGTTGCGACTTCATAGGTTGGATTCTCCTCATCAAGAGCTTTCAGACGATATAATATGTGGGGGATTCAATGTTTCTTGCGGCTCTAACCCGGGGTGGAGTACTGCTCTTCACTAATTCTCCACCCCGCCCATTTCAATGTATTGGCGGGAGGCCGCCAGTGGAGAATTAGTGAAGAGAGGTACTCCACCCCCGGGCATATGCCGTGGGAGGCGTGAACCCCCCACATATTATATATCATTTGAAAGCTCTTGATGAGTAGAATCCAACCTATGAAGTCGCAACATGATTCATGCAATTCTGAAGAAGTTATGAGCTGAAAAACGGTTTTTTACCTGCTTCTTTAGGAGCCTGGATTTCGGCGATGTTTTAATGGATCGGTACAGCTAAGACATGTTCTGATAGGGCAAACCTAACCCTACAAAACCTATGAAGTCGCAACATCACACATCTTCAAAGTCCGGATTTATAAGGGTTTAAATTTCAGTTGTCATTAAACAACCTAAAATCGGGTAGATTTTTAAGGTTTTTCAAAATTCTCGTTCTCGGCGGCCACTCCTCAAATCAAACTGATTCTTTCACTGTCTGGTAGAACAACACTTACCCTTCAAAACCTATGAAGTCGCAACTGCGGAGGTCTTCAGCCAACAGATTTGTAACAGTGGAATGATTTTTCACGATTTTTCATTATTTTATCATTCGAAATTCTGGTTCTCGGCGATTACTGCCTGGATAGACCTACTACTTAGATATATGCTCTTAATACTTTCTTTTACATTCCTTTTGCTTATTCTCCTTCTTTTGAGCTTTAGCAAAAAAAATTTTCAAACCGAAAAGTGAAGGTGGTCACCCTGTACCAGCTCAAAAGTGAAGGTAGGCGGAGAATCGGCTCCGACTATCGCACCTCTGGTGGGGTTACCATAGATCGAAGATTTCTGCCCCGAGCTGGTCGTTGCTTATTTGTCAAAGGCCTTTGGCTCTTGCGAGTTTACAAGAGAGTTATCGAAGGAGCAGAAAGTGTTTAAAAGCTACATTTTGTGTGAAGCTATCACAAACAATATGAGAATAGAATTGGAGGAGGGTGAAGTGATGGAGGATGATGACGAAAATCCGGTATGGTCGGAAGACAATGAAGATGATAATGAGGCTAACCCAAACGCAAGAGGGTCATATCGTTCCGGAGATGTACATGCATGCTGATTTCATGGAACAACTTTTCACAGCTTTCTGACCTTTTTGAGTGGTTGAATCACATGCTGAGAAGCAGAAAAAGCCGATTTTTCGGCTGCGGAGCCGACCCAGTAATTTTCAGATGGCTATAAAACGCTGAAAAGAAAACATAATGAAAATGTTTCTTCTCTGTATGTAAACTTTTAAGGTATAGATACGTTTTATATATAAAAGTATGAAAACTTATGTGAGCAAAGTGTCGGTGCCAGCTCAGCTCCCACCCAGCTGGCACCGTGCCAGCTAATTCAGAAGAAGTTGGGCACAGCTTTCATTCACATATGTTTTCATAAATTTTTGGGCCATAGTTCGGGTCCCCCAACGCGCACACCAAATTTGGTGTCATACTATTGCGTATTGGCTGAAAAACGCCTTTGTTTGTTTAATGGGCAGCATGTCGGTGGCATTCCGGCGGCATCCTTGCGATTCTTCTCCGCCACGGACCCCTTAAAAACGATATCCCCTTTGATTTCGCCCTAAAAACGATATCCAGTTTGACCCGGTGTCAGCTGTGCCGAGCCCTGACTGGGAACCCTCATAATTCGCTCTAAAACTTGCTCCACAGGGGTTATTTGACAATTACGAATACATTATGGTTATGCTTGGTAGAGCCTTTATATCCTGCCTACGGTAGGCGAACGAAAATGTTGGTTGGGGGATATTGTAACGGCACCTAAGGGAGGGGGGGGGGGGTTCGTATCTGGCGGTTGTGTGCCACAACTCTTGCTCGACCCTGTAAATTACTGCATATTTGTTTACATTTCAAACTATGTAGACTCAGGGCAGATAATTCCATGACCAGGCAAAGCTTGGAGCTAGTCTGAATAGCTCTGTAGAAGACAATTCTAGTGGCATGTGGTATTTTCCCCAAACGCCTGACTTTGATTTGAGTGCATACGAAGACTCCGTTGTTTAGACTAACTTATCCCGTTCCTGATCAAGAAGAGATCACTTGTATGCTGCACTTGATATGTTTCCTTGCAGCAAGAGTATGTTTCCATATCGTCTGGAAAGCTGGATTTTGATATTATTGTAATTCTTCAAGAAAAGCTGTAACTCAGCCTTGTACATGATAAAAAGGAGGTGCCGCCGTGCGATACTTCAAGGTTCCTGTTCTGCGAGGGAATCGCCTCAAAAACTCGGTACCAACTTGAACAATCATACTGCGAATTTGTAAGTATGGTGCTACCCGAGCCAGTTGTCCGCTAATCTCGAATGGCAAAACAATGGTAAATTTAAGTGCCCAGAGCTTCTTTAAACAAGCTTCGGCTTTATGACTGATGCTTTAGAAATTTTTCAAGCCATTAGTTCTGTCGTGCACCATCAGTGCACTACATTTTAGATCTCCATTGGAATTTGCCTTTTGAACGTTTTCTACATTGCACGCTTCCACACGTTCACTTCTTACATTTCCACAAAAAATGCATTATTTTCGAGGTTTTACAATCGCAAGAGAATCATTTTATCTTTAGCTTGCAAAAAAATTAAGTCAGTCTTTTTCACGTCAATTTGCGATAAGATAACCAAGAAACGTCATTAATCTGTAGTCCCTCTAAGGGTTTGCAATTCAGGAGTCTGTTATCTTTGACTATAAAATGTAATCTTATTAGTTGCAGAAAAGGGCAGAGCTGGCCGAGAGGTTAGTGCCCTTGACTACGGCGAGGAAGGTCACAGGTTCGGTTCCGCGGCGGGCCTAACTTCTTTGGCAAAAAGCTCTGCCCACGATTCCAGCGTCAGGCTGCTCACCCAAAAGGAAGCAAGCGACAAGCCGGCTGAAGAAGACACCACGTCGCATCACATGCTCTTTTATGTCTCAACAGAATTCTCGTATAAAAGCTAGGGCGTTCCCCGTAGGCGACGCGCATTCGAGCCCGACGGATGCGGACAATAGGCGAGGGTTACCGTCTCAGCAAGGTGAACGGGGACGGCCAAAGAAGCTAGTTCACCATAGAAAGATTTCCAAGTTCTCGGCATTACGTCTAGCCACCATCAACGTCGGTTCTCTCACATCTCGACATCGCGAACTTGCCGATCTTCTTAGAAGACGTAAAGTAGACGTTGCTTGTGTTCAGGAGACCAGATGGAAAGGTGAAAGAGCACGGGATATCGGAGATGGCTACAAACTTCTGTACAAAGGAACGAACAACAGCAGGAACGGTGTCGGTATAGTCGTCTCTGAAGCGTTGAGGAACAGAATCATGGCTGTAGATCGACTGAGTGACCGTCTCATGGGTATAAGACTAGATACCGGGAAGAGAGTACTTCGAATAATAACGGCCTACGCACCACAAGCAGGCTGCGAAGAAGCGGAGAAGGAAGAATTCTGGCAAATGCTTGATGACTACGTCAGCTCGATACCACATGAAGAGATGCTTCTCATCGGTGCAGATCTCAATGGGCACGTAGGAGAAGAACGGAGCGGTCTACAGAAGTGCCACGGCAAACACGGGTACGGAACGCGTAATGATGAAGGAGAACGTATCCTGGAATTCGCTACAGCTCATGAATTAGCCTTGGCAAACACATACTTCATCAAGAAGACCAATCACCTCGTCACGTATGCCAGTGGAGGACGCAAATCGCAGATAGACTTCTGGAGTGTACGGTACAACGAGCTGAAGTACGTGAAAGACAGCAAAGTCATCCCAGGTGAAGATTGCGTGCCACAGCATCGGCCACTAATACTAGATCTCAACATACCAATAGACAGGAAAAGGAGGGCTACGACAGAAGCTGAAGTACGCATCAAGTGGTGGAAACTCAAGAACGACGCCCGTACAAGAACGCTAATGGAATCCGCCTTGCCAGAAGTGGGAAGTGATCCGAATCATTCCTGGACGAATCTGAAGAACAACATCCATCAGATAGCTGGCGATCTACTTGGGTGCACGAAGCCAGGAAGAAGGAAGCTTGACAAGGAAACATGGTGGTGGAACGATGGAGTGCAGCTAGTGATAAAAAGCAAGAAGATGGCGTACAAAGCATGGAAAAGACAAGGACAGAAGATGCACACCAGAAGTACCTAGAAGCGAAACGTGAAGCCAAGAAGAGAGTCAGAGAAGCGAAAGAAGCATACGTAGCAGAACTGTATGGCAAATTGCGTACTCGCGAAGGTGAACGAGAAGTATATCGGATCGCTAGAAGACGAGCAAATGCCGCAAAAGACGTTGAACACTTCTACCACATCAAGGACGCGCACGGAAGAATTCTGAGGAAGCCGCAGGAAATCAATGAAAGATGGAGGGAGCACTTCGCGAAGATGGCGTCAGCAAACAACGAATATGCGTCCACCGTAACATCCGAACCCGTGAATGGACCAGTACCAGCAATCACTGAAGATGAAGTCCGTACCGCCATAATGAAGACAAAGAGCGGCAAGGCGACAGGCCCCGATGACATCCCCAGCGAGTTCTGGAAGCAGTGTGGAGAGGCTGGAGTTTCGTGGCTAACGCGTCTTTTGAATCAGATAGTCGAGTCGAAGAATATCCCCGATGATTGGCGCAGAAGTACGACGGTACCGATATGGAAGAATAAAGGCGACGTAGCTGACTGCTCCACCCACCGACCTATCTGTCTCATGTGCCACACGCTGAAGATCTTCGAAAGAATACTAGAGATGCGGCTTCGAAGCATCGTGATACTGAGCTCCAACCAGTGCGGATTCGTGAAAGGATGCAGTACGACAGATGCCATTCACACCGTCAGAATGATGATGGAGAGAAGCAGAGAAAAGCAATGTGAGCTCCACGCGGCATTCCTGGATCTTGAGAAGGCATTCGACAGAGTACCGCACTACGTTATATGGTGGGCACTGCGGAAGCACGAGGTACCAGAAGAATACGTTCGGTGGATCAGAATGATATACAAGGATGCCACCAGCTACGTAAGAACAGCAGCAGGACGTACAGAAGACTACCACATAGATGTCGGTGTACATCAAGGATCCGTTCTCTCCCCTCTACTCTTCATCACAGTGATGGACACGATAGTCAGAAGCTTCGTAAATCCACCTCCTTGGACCGTCATGTACGCAGATGATGTGCTCCTGATGGCAAGAAGCAGGAAGGAATTGGAGACAGACGTAGCAATATGGAAAGAACAGCTTGAACTACACGGTCTGAAGATCAACACCGCCAAGACAGAATACATGAAGCTGGGACTTCAAACGCCAGAGACGATCCAGATTGCAGGCACGCAGATCAAGAAGACCACGTCCTTCAAATACCTAGGAAGTCGCATCGCGGCAGACGGCACGCTCGAAGACGAAATAACCAGTCGTATAAACGCAGCATGGCTGAAATGGAGAAGTCTCACCGGAGTGCTATGCGATAAAAGGATGCCGCTCAAGCTGAAATCTCAGATGTACCGCACTGTCATCCGCCCAACTGCGCTGTATGGAAGCGAGTGTTGGCCGTGCACACGCAAGGATGAACGAAGGCTTGGAGTGATGGAAACCCGCATGCTCCGATGGACGATGGGTGTCACGCTGCTCGACCACGTCACTAATGATACCATTCGCGCAACGATGAAATTGGCCCCAATAACTAAGAAAGTGCAGGAAAGGAGGCTTAGATGGTACGGCCATGTCAGAAGGCGAGAGGAAGAACACATCACCAGACTAGCGATGTCAGTAGAGGTTCCCGGCAGACGACCAAGAGGAAGACCTAAGCTGCGATGGACAGACAAAGTCAAGTCAGACCTGAGAGAGCTTGGAATAGATGAACGTCAAGCATTAGACCGTGAAACATGGAGGAGACTAATAAGAGTGGCAGACCCCGTATGGGAATAATGCAAGGCTAAAAAAAAATTAGTTGCAGAAAAAAAACTAAAATAATCTAAAATAACAATCTCACGTCATCTTGCTGATAAGATAGCAAGGACAGGTTCTTGACTTATGATTAATATACTTAGAGTCACGGAAGCACACCGTATACTTGAAGAAATATGTTTATGTCATTCGGGGCTGTCTAAGGCCCAAAGCGTACCCCAGGCAATTTCAGTTGCTGCGCAATTCTGCACGCAACGACTCTTCATAATAGCCGTAGAAGCACTTCGCTGGGGGAAGATTTGATGTGTTTGTGACAATATCCAAAAACTCAGAGCTCGGCACGAGGTGGCTAGTTGAAAAGTCAAAAAATGAAGTCTTCCTTGAATTTTGCGAATTTTTACGAAGGCACTTTTGACCCCAGACCAGTAATCTCTATAAAATCTCCAAAAAACGAAGCGCCGACCAAAAAAACGCAGATTTTGTGTCTTTTCGGCCACAAAAACAAAACCCTTTTTGCTTTTTGTCCCAAAAACGATATTCAGTTTGCTTCACAAGCCACCTGTTCTGAGCCGTGCAAAAACTGCGGTAAATCTGTAAAAAGGCAATTTGTAGTCGCGGAATTTCAGTGTTTGATGAAGATCCAGGGTTCATGTCTCAACGTCACGAAAACGCTTTACAGTACTTAGCGGCCCTCTGACCACACTAATATTTGTGTGGTCAGAGGGCCGCTGTGCCGAGGATTGGCGCTCAGAATGCTTTCAAATCATGGGGCTAATGAAAAATCTTTGAAGATTTTTTGGCTGAATGTGCAAGGTCGGAGATATTTGAGGTATTGAAAATATGACCGGATCTTGTTCCAAGAAAATGCGTTCGAATGCACCGTTTCTCAACTGGTGTGCTAAGTGATTTGAATTGTTGCGTGTACTGAGAACATTGGTTTTCGAAACTTTAACATTTGAGGAATGCAAGCAAACACGATAGTCCTCGTTTTTCCGTCATCGTTTTCCTATTGCACCGCTTCTAATGAATCTTGCAAAACGAAAAGAAAACCATCACATCTTTTTATGGATTCTTCGCAGTTTCTATAGGTCGTGATTATCAAGTAAAGATGATTGAAAAAGTTCTGGGTTTAGTATATAACAAGGCCGTTGTTAAAGATATACCTTTGGATCTCAAAGATTTACTCAGCATCTCATCGTAATAAATTCTATCTTACTCCAGATATGGTAAGTAGGAAGAAGTAGAGCACCCACGATCTTCTTTAGCCCTTCAAAACTGCTCAAATCAAGAATTTTTCATTCATCTCATCACGACAAACAATTTAAAGAACGAAAGTCTAAATTTTTAAATAGGAATGGATCATGAGTACGTCAAAATTATCGCAAGAAAGACAAACACTTTAAAACCAAAACCTAAGCAATCCTGCTTGTAGCGGCTCCGCGTGTGAGTCGCTCCTCGAAGCAAAACGGCCAGTGGAGCTGTCAGCCGCATTCACCTATCGTCGTTACTTTACTCGAGTCCATTAGCTCTACTAATTCGTCGTCGTGCTTGGTGTCACTTTGGTAACATCTTGTCGATGGATTTCTGATATAATCAGATATTATCGTTATCGTCTGATATTATCGTTTGCGCACCAAGTTCGTATGATCGGTCGAGGGCAGGCGTACAATGGATCGTTGCTAGTCTTGGGAGATTTATATCGGAAATGGAGAGGTCGCACCTTACAACAAGGAGTTAATGGATATAACTTGGCGCCCAGTCGACCCTGGTGGCAAGTGAACCTTTGTATATAAGTGTTAATCTCAGGTGAACATCGGGAGCACGAAAGGAGGGTGCTCGTTTTCTCTAAGCATGAAGAATTGTACTTTTTCTCAGCAAAATATCAAGCTATTTTGTATTCAATTCAAGAGGGATTTGTTAAGATAACAACAGGACTTCTCTGAAAAATGCATTACCGCGAAGATTCCAACACACTTTGAGAAATATTACTCTCTCCCATGATTCAAACCCACTTTTCGACGACGAATTAACTGTGTATAGTCGTCCTCACCCCACTAGTCGGTCGTTGGTCGAATTTGAATTCGAACTGGAGCAGGCTGACGGCGGCAGAGCGTGGCAGACCGCCCCTTAGCCAACTACTTGCACGAGCTTTTTTCTTATTTTCTTCGTGTTTCTTTGCTATCTCTCGTATTGCGGCGATGTTCTTGATTAGACTTTCAGATTTCTACCGCTAACTCTTTAAAACAAACACTTGTTGAGAGAATTTCAGCCTTACCGCAAAAAAGTCTAGGGTACATATTCCAACGAAAAACTTGACACATTTCATCAAATCACGTTTGTGTATATGTCACTTACTGGAAAAAAGAGATTTCTCATCCAAAAATCTCCAATCGCATCCTTCTTCCCGGTTTACATGGAAGAAGATGCAAAACAAACGAGCACATTTGCATAAAACAGTAGTTAGCAGTGCAAAATCTAAAAATCTGATAAATAACATTGCCGCAATACGAAAGATAGCAAAAAAACACGAAGAAAATTGAGAAAAGCTCATGTGCAAGCGGTTGGCTAAGGAGAGGTCTGCCGCGCTCTACCGCGGCCGGTCTGCTCCAGTTCGAATTCAAATTCGACCACTGACCGACTAGTGGGGTGAGGACGACTATACTAATTCTGTACCCTGTTTTAGGTGTACAGCCGCAGCCAGCTTGTTCTAAGCGCGAGCAGATCTGGCGTATCGCTGCGCATATGCACCGCGAAAATTACTCTTTCTCTTACTATTTCTATATTTGAGAGCCCCATGGTACGCGGATTCCTTTGAGGTGTTTGCTTCTACAGCCGTGCGGTTGTACACCTGGAAAAGGCAACAAAATCCTATAACCTTTTGTAAGAGCAACTACCCCCAAATTCAAGTAGAATGGCGGCTGGAAGCCAGGCTTCGTGACCTAATTAAGTATGAGAATGATCAGAGAGCAAGTTGGCGAGAGATATGCAGACTGCGTCGCTGGCGCGAGCGGTTGCCTTCTAGCCGCTGATCTCGTTCGATCGAGAAGTATGTCTGCTATGTGTCAAGATGATGTTAAGAAAGTTTGATTATGCGTGTGTCCAGCTTTCACTTCGATAAAGTTAGCTGTCATGTGGTTCACAGGTCCTTGCGCTATCCAGCAAGAGGGATCATACAGGGTGTCCCAAAAGTATGTATACACTATTTGATTGTTGATATCTCTTTTCCCAATAAGTCTTTTGTCTATCTTTAGGTACCACTTTGTAGAGCTGGCTTCAATTTAGATTTACAGTATTGAGTACCGATCGCCCTTCGTCACTGTATGATTACGGTGAAAACTTTCTGCTTACAGCATCATTGTGGATTGGTCGTGTTTCAAAAATATTTCCAAAAATTCTGAAGAGTAATGTGTGAGGGATTTGACGCGCGCTGTTCTGTTTTCATTACTCAACTTTTCAGGACTTTGTAAAACTTTCTAAATGGTGTAATCACAATTTTAGGGTGCCTTGTGAAGATAGCTATTGCGGTTCACCTGGCATAAGTTATGAAGACCTTTGCAGCAAATTGCCAAGTACACTTTTGATTTTTCCGACTCTAATTAGCCTAGTGTAAGAGTTTCCAGGTTCTTTGAATTGCTTCCCAAAGCAAATTAGGGCTCTGAATGGCACAAAACCTTTCTTGAAGTTTTTAACCGTAATCATACAGTAACGAAAGAGCGGTGATTCGCCCCATACCTTACATCTAAGTTGAAGCCAGCTCTACAATGATACCTGAGGTAGGCAAAAGCCTTCTTGTGAAAAGAGATATCAAGGATCAAACAATGTATATAGGTGATTCGTTGACCGTACGGACTGGATATCACTGCGGAGCACGCGCCGCGAGGTACCCAGACACTCGCACCGGCCGGCGACCGTCCGACGACGGCCTTCCGGCCGACGACCGCTCCGTAAATCTGGGCGGAGCTAAATGCCGGCCGGTGGCCGCTCCAAAAAAATCATACCGGCTGGTGGCCGCTCGAACGGCCGTCAGCCGGTAACATTGCCATGTCGCGGGAAGTGGGCGGGATTTGAAAATTGCATGATTGAGCTGCGTAAGCGACGCTCTACTTCTCTTCTTTCATAATTGAGTGCCATTTTCCACTTGTTTTCCAGTTTCCACTTGTTTTTCCACTTGTTTACGTAATTCATGGTTAGAAGAAAGATTCGTATGCTTATCACTCAAAAATGTTTAGATTTCCGCAGTGATGTTATTCTATTTGTTAATACCGCTCTCTTCAGCGTACCATTGCTTGCACTCGCTGTTTATCATCCTTACCCATGATGGAGCATATGACCTTTCGACTAACTCTCCATATATCTCAGCACTATGCATTTATGGATTACGGGTGTACTACATATACACATTTCTACGGGAGTTCGTGTTCTATTGTAAGACTACGCCTTGCGCCTAATTTCTAGTATAAACTCCACTAGAAGGTGCGTTCTTATCTCTACTAATGTTGACTAAATCTCATGTTCTACGGATTCCCGGTATCCCTGTGTCTATCTTTGTGTACACTGCAAAAGGTAAGTGGGTCTACACCAATTATTTGAGAGAAACTAATCTTGGTTAGTGGTTTAGGGGAAACATTCACTGAACGCCTCCTGGAATAGGTCATTGAGTTGCTCCGCTCACTGACATAGCAATTCCTGAGCAGGTAAGTCTCAGTCTCTCTCAATAATGATCTTTTGTCAAAAGCTTCTTTTGTTTGCAGATGTCCGCTGTGTGGCATTCACCCTAAAGAATACGAGAGTGCAGCAACCAGTCAACTCGGAATGGGCAGCGAGCGGTCCGATGTGCTATCTTCTGTGTCGACCGGATGTTCTCATGTACAAAAGACGCCATCTTCTCGTAGACATAAGAAACGTTCAAATTTTATAGCTTCATCAGATATTGTGTTAGGCTTTACGTATTAGTCTCATTTGTAATCAGTTCCTCACTATGTATGGAATAAATGGATATGTTTTTGCGGTTCTATACTATGTTTCGTGATTGGAGGGGGGGCAAAGCGAAAGCTGCAAAGCGAAGAAGAATCGCGCCTCACAACCATTTTGTTGCGCGATTGACACATACCGGCCGACGGCCGTCCGAATAACCGGCCGGTGGTCGTAGACTACGCGGCTGAGTGAAATGACCTGTGGTGCCGCCAGCCGGTCTTTGTGCGGCCGCCGGCCGGTGCGAGTGTCTGAGTAAAACGCTTGCCCCAGTACGAATTCGCTAAGTCGTGCTCTCGCGACAATTCAGCCGCGCGCGCGTGGTCCGCAGCGTTTGAGCAGTCCGTACGGCCAACGAATAGACGATACTTACTTTTAAGACACCCTGTATAATTTAATATCTCAAAGACGTCCGAGCAAAAACTCGATTTTTAGAAAATCCCTTACCTAGGGTTATCCGCAACGCTGAATCCGAATATCCACATTAGAAGGCGCAAAACGACGAGAACATGTGTTTTTCAAAGCCTTACAACTTGAAATTCGACGGTCCCCGCCAAGGCTAAAACGCCGAGTCGCTGCAGGACCCTACAACTTGAACTGTGGCATCATATACTTTGCCACTTGGCAGGACCTTCAAACAGGTCGGAGGACCTCCCCCCCCCCCCAAGGCGTAAGTTTCCCCACTTCTCGATCGCTTTCTTGCTTTACAGTCACTCATAAACACAAAAACAGCTTTGGTGAATCTTTGATGCAAGAGCTTAGTGAGGGGTCGCACGGGATCCGATCCGCACGAGCCTCCATCGCTCCTGATGATACGGAGGGTACGCACTTCGGCACCAAAAACAACGGCAACGGCCGAAATCCAATGGAAAGCGAGCAATTTACCATGCTCGCGATAGCGAGAGCAAAAGCAACAGAAAGCGAAGGGGGGGAGCACGAGAGCAGGTCGCGAAATTTTTAAATGTTGAGTGAGTTATGAAAATGTGTAAGCGACCTGTTCATACTTGTAAATAATTGAAAATTTGAAGTTTCCTGAAAATTCAACTTAGCCTTAAAAAGTTTCCAAAATTTTTTATATATGCCCCCCCCCCCCTCCCCGAATGAAGTTACTGGTCTTTTAAGAACTAAGCAGTGTCCAATGTTTAGAACTCCGAACACTATAATTAGATGAAAAGGTGTAAATTTTTTTCCAAAACTTCTTATCCCCCCTCCGTCCCCCCCCCCCCTCCTGGATGCAACCACTTTGTCTTCAAAAAGATAGTTGAACTTACTGGTCTTTTCATTTTATTTCATTTCATTTATTACGCACGATGTCCTATGCATTAACCGACAACAGAGAAATGTTACAAAACATAGAAAGGCTAACGCCACGCACACTAACACGAAACAAATTTTTGCCCCCTCCCCCCCGGACGGAAATCCTGGGACCGCCAATGTAATTCAGGTATGTCTCCCTTTCGATGAAATAGCTTCGCGAATATGGGTTAGTGGCATTTCGGGGCAAAATCTATCTCATTGCGATCTAATCCATGAGAAAAGTTCCTTGCGATCATGTTGTGAACACGGTTTATAAGTCATAATCCTAGTTAAGATAGATGTTACCCTGGTTTGTTGATGAATGCGGCCACAGGTAAACTTTGCTCCCTGATCCACGTAAAGAGGAGCAGCGTCTAGATCTTATGTTATCCCGAAAATTGCATTTTCTCAAAAATGCTTTATATTTGCTACTGCTCGAAGTGCAGTAGGAATTTACGAATACTGATTATATGCAAATGCAATTTTGCGGCTAGGAAATGAGAAAAACTATGCTCAAGAATCAAATGTGATCCTGCGTCCATTGCACTGTACGATTGTTGGTTCGGTCCGAAAGTTTTTGAAAACGCTAAAAAGGTAAAACGTAAAGACATATTTCAGGCTTGTTTCCAAACTAGGTTGCTTACCCGGCTTCGCTTGGCCCTGTCAAAACATTGTAATAAAGGTCCCATCCCTATCCCTGTACAGCCTTTCCCCACACTTCATTTCCCATTCCCTGTGTTGTTTTCGAAATGAGCATGCCCTCTTACCCCCCTCTGCCAACTCCCAGCCCTGTAGCTCAAACTTTGCAAAAAATCGATCTAATCGATAAAACTAATCGATGGTTCTGGAAACTAATATTGTATTCGGGATCTCCATGCTCACTTACCCGCCTATGCCAACTCCCAGCCCCGTAGGTGAACTCTGCAAAAAATTGATAAAAATCGATAAAATCGATATCGATCGATAACGAAAAATAGCCTATGACACGCTCCCCGCCCCGAAGTACATGTATGCCAAGTTTGGTCCAAATCGGTTTTTATAAAAATTTCTATTCCGCACATACGTACAGACAGACAGATATACAGGCAGACACACATTCTGCTTTATATATAAGATTACTTAAAATGACTGAAATGAAATGCTCGTCATCATTTCAAGTGCTACACCGCACACATTGAAGCTGTCTAATGTTTACACCTCCATGAATATATTGATATCACAAATAAGGACCAAACCCATCCATTTGCTAGATATCTGTGAGTATGTTCACGGCTGTTTTTCGCATAACGCTGGCTATAAATCTCTAAAAAATGTAGGCGCTACTTTCACGCTGCTGTGTGTGACAGGTGACCGAGAATCTTATGAGAGACTACTATATCAGACTACAAACAAAGACTACAATGTAAACTTGTAAGTTACTAACCAGTGTTTTGAAGCTCTCATCGGACGAAAGTCTCCTTTAGAATAAGCACCGAGCCACCGTTTAAAACACTTCAATCTACAGATATGACGAGAAAGTTGAGAAAAGGAACCTTTGCATGGAATCAAACAGCCACTCAAGACAATGTATCGATAATTGTTCCTGCGCACCTTTGGTCGTTTAGGCCGCCGATTTCAACTCTACTAGGAAATGTCAAAATATTTGTCGTGTAATCTGATTATTTTTCTAACGGTAATAGAAAGCATCACTTCAATCAAACGCAGTCCTTGATTTCTAGAACAAAGCGTACCTTGTTCTCTTGCAAACGGCACAAACTGACTTTCACAGACGCCATAAAGAAGTGTTTCGTTTACATTTGCCTGTTTGTTTCAACCCAAAATTTTGCAAAGCGAACATTATGTTTCACAACCATATACGCTCACCCACTACTTCATACTGTTTTTGCAAAGTTCGAGTCTCTTCGTTTTTGGAAAGAACACATAAAAATCTGTGAATTCTAACAAAAATAAGCTACAGACTTGTACTGCTTTAGCTTGATTATGTGCCAGCAATATATGGCTTTTACATCAGTGTCAGCTGATATGACTAGTCAAACAAAGGCACAATTGATAGTGGCAAAAATGTCGAGATTTGATATTCCAAAAACGTCATATTTCAATAATCAGACAGTATCTGAGTGTTCTTTCTAATCAGCACCAAGAAGAACGATGTTGTATCAAAATTCTTAGAAAAAGCGTTTCAACGAAATACTCAATCGTTGTGGTATAAAATGCAGCAAAACTTTTTTGGAAAGTATACTGTAATCAAAATGTTAGCTGTCTTTCTGCTGGTTGTGATTTTTGTGGAAACAACGAGGTCAGTTTTTTCGGTCATAGCAATACAACTAAGATTCACATTTATTAGGAGAGCCATATTCACTCAGACAATCCAGAGTCCAGAGAATATTAGAAATAATGAGATTTCCGGCACCTGCTGCACTGCATGCAGCCTGCGAGAGCACTTTTTCCTCTTCCCTATCCATGTTTAAGCGTTTTTACCTTTTACTACAAACATAATAAGGGGGAACGAGAGGTTATACAAGTCGAATCTCCCAGCTTTTTGTTTGATCCCCTGACGGTCCCGGTGGCCAGTTGTCTTTTCTTCAAAGCCGTCTTTCTTTCTCTAAGCAAAAATTGTGTCGATCACCTAACCCAACAGTCAGGGTCAAGCAAGAGGTGTGGCACATGATCGCTGGTTACGACCCCCCCCCCATTTGTTGTTGTCTCAATAAGACCCCTCACTATACACCTGTGATAGCATTACTTGAAGGCCCCGTCAAACACAGCGGGCAACATAATCATAGTTAGCTGTCAATTTATCCTTGTAGACAATGTTTGAGCGGATTCTGAAGTTCCAAAATAGTGGGTCATCTATCAGCATGATTAACTTTGTTTCAAGGGTGAAGTAGCTAGCTGTTTTTGCACTCAAGAGAAAGCACTACTCCTTTTTGGCCACTTCAGAAATCTCGCTTCGAAAGACCTCCTAACTTTGGAATTAGAAGCCGACCAAAATCTTGTTTTTCCTATTTTCGCTTTCAATGGCTGTGCTTTCACCAAATATTACTCAAAGCTAAGAAGACGAATTAGGCTCAAGCACTCCTATGAAATCTACGAGGTCTATGCTATTCTTGTATATAAAGCTGAATGTCTGTTTGTCTGTATGTATGTATGTCTGTAGGTTTGTGCCGAATAGAAAATTCCAATTCTGAACTGATCTGGACCAAACTTGGCACCGGGCGGATGTCATAGGTTACTTTTCGTCATCGATCGACATCGATTTATCGATTTTTATGATTTTTTGCTGAGTTTACCCACGGGGCTGGGAGTTGGCACAGGGAGTAATCGAGCATGCTGATTACTAATACAATATTAGTTTTTAGAATTATCCATTACCTTTATCGATTTCACTGATTTTTTGCAAAGGTTGAGCTACGGGGCTGGGAGTTGGCAAAGGGGTAACTGAGCATGCTCATAACCAATGTAGTAAATGTTTGTGAGAATATGCAATATTTTGTTTTTTAGACCCTTGGATAAGAAAGGTGTAAGTTGGTACTGGTTTTGCTGATTCAAAAGAAGTGATCTTTATTTTTCATCCTCAATCCTGCATCAAAATATTTCTCCTGTCGTCTGCGACTGCATTTCGGTAAGGGATAAGCGAGTGCGCTGATTACAAAACAGCCTCCCTGAAAAAGCTGGGGTGCTAGTGCCACGATCAAACGTATTGAAAGAGTACACTGATCATTTCCATGAAATCACAACAATTTTGATTTCTTGACGAGGTCTAAACTTTTCTGAAATATGTTTTGTTTATAAAACACTCTTTCACATCTCAGGTCCTAATAAAGCAAGACTAAATTGTTGAAATTTTGCATGCACATATTCTATATGTGGGTAAATATACCACGAGTATATTCAGAAAAAAAACGTTCTTCCAGGGTTTTCAGAATTTATTAGGGAGAAATCGTGATGGCGTCCTGGAATGAGAAAGGGAATTAATATTTTACTAGCACCGCTGGATTGGGCATTAAAAGTTAGCATGTACGTGTTTAGAAGCAAGGTCCTAGGATGTTTCTGGAACGAGATACAGGCATTTTTAATTTTTCTCTAATTCCTGTTTCACTCAGTATTGATATATCCGTACGCTTCCGCCTAGTGAAACGTTGGTACCACCTCGGCAGATGTGAACGCATGCTCAGAGAATCGCCGGGGGAGGGGGTCCGCAAACTCACGCTTTTCTGCAAGCGGTCAGCAAAATTCTGGGGCGTGGCCAAACCTTTAGCGAGCGGTAGAATGAGGCAACCGATGGTTGTACTCGAATGAGGCAACCGATGGTTGTACTCGAATGAGGCAACCGATGGTTGTACTCGAATAAGGCGACCGATGGTTGTACTCGAATGAGGCAACCGATGGTCGTACTCGGAGGCAACCGATGGTTGTACTCGAATGAGGCAACCGATGGTTGTACTCAAATGAGGCAACCGATAGTTGTACTCGAATAAGGCGACCGATGGTTGTACTCGAATGAGGCAACCGATGGTCGTACTCGGAGGCAACCGATGGTTGTACTGAATGAGGCAACCGATGGTTGTACTCAAATGAGGCAACCGATGGTGTACTCGAACGAGGCAACCGATGGTTGTACTCGAATGAGGCAACCGATGGCTGCTCTCGGCTGAGGCAACCGTCCGCCATGAGGCAACCATCAGAAATGACTGGTGCCGCGGCGCCTTGTATAGCCTCGCCTTAAATACCCCTCCAGGGGGGAGGGGAAGGGGAAGTCCAATTCGTGTGGTTAAGCATAGGCTTTCCATAAAAAATCTATCCGCCCCTTCCGAGTTGGTGTGACCAATCACAGCCGGCCCCGCCCCTTTCCGAGGGGTATATAAGGCGGCCGATCTCGGCATTGTCGGTCAGTCACCTCTGCTAGCCGGCGGTCACTGAACAACCGAGAGCTCTGAGTACCAAGCTAGGACCAAAGATCTAAGGATCTGAGGACCAAGCGATAAAACCTAAAGGCTCCTATTTCTCGAGTACCGAGAAGCCAACGGCTTTAGCTCGAGCACCGAGAAGCCAACAGGCTCTACCTCGAGTACCGAGAAGCCACAGACTTTAGCTCGAGTGCCGAGAAGCCAGCAGGCTCTACCTCGAGTACCGAGAAGTCTAAAGGCTCCAACTAGCTCAGGTATCGAGAATTCTAGGGCCTAAGAAGCTTTTATATAGCACAGGATGCCGCCGAAGAAGCGTGCATCCATTGGAAGAATTGATCTCAAGGCTAAAAAGGTCAGGGATTAAAGAGAGGTTGAGACCTTTGAGCGCGCCAGGAACGGCTAGAAGGCAATCGTGCCAGAGTAGCCGAGGCAAGAGCAACGCAAACGCTGGAAGAGCGTAAAGCAAGTCTCTCGCAGACTCGCCTGCGGCTTGCTGCTTTGAGGACCTCAAAAGCACAAGAAAGCCGTGATTCTCGAATCGACGACGACCGAGTGAGACACGCCGAAGCCAGGCCCCAGGAGACGGCTGAAGAGCGCGAGTCTCGAGTTGACGATATGCGGTCGAGGAACGCAGAAGCCAAATCTTAAGAGACGGCTGAAGAGCGCAATTCTCGATTCGATGATATGCGGTCGAGGAAACGCTAAAGCCAGATCTCAAAAGACGGCTGAACAACCCGAGTCTCGACTCGATGACCACCGAGTGAGACATGCTGAAGCCAGATTTCAAGAGACGGTTGGACAGCGCGAGTCTCGACTCGACAGCAGTCGAATGAGGAATGAGGCTTCACGAAGAGCGGAAACGGGTGCAGCGCATTCAGTACGGGTCAAACGTGATCGCGTTCGACACGTCCACGCTCGGCAGACATCCGGGCGAGTACATTTTCACCTCGCGGCATTAAACTATCATGCCCAGGTCGACTACTCGACCCATCCGAATATACCAATCGGAAGGATGGATGTCATATGTGACAAGCGTCAAGCCAAGAAGTTCAGGGCCGAACCTCCTGGCATGTACTATTCCAGCGGCAAAGTCGGCCTTCCGCTTCTACGTGAGCCGCCTGAGCCGCTTCGTTCATACATGTCCGGCACCAGTGCTGTGTCCAGGCATTTCTTGCAGAACATCATGAAGTACAATGCGTGTTTTCAGATGACGTCTTTCAGCACTACGGTCGCCATGCCTGACGTTGAGGAACAGGGCTTCATGCCAACGTTCAAGGTGCAGGAACAGGTCTATAGAGCTGGATCCCTGCTTCCTTATGGCAATGATAGCCCCAAGTTTTTGCAACTGTACTTCGTCTGCGACGAGCAGCTGCAAGCGGATCAAAGTTGCGGCATCATCGGTGGTACGAGGCCGGATGTCGTACTAGAGCTGCAAGGAATGCTGCATCAGCACAACGACCTGGTGAAGGACTTTAAGACCAACCTGGAGTAAATGCCTACAGACGAGTATAAGGTCGTTATCCGGCTGACAAGAAGCCTGCTGGTCAGCATGAAAGACGCTTCAACGCTCCGTTTGTAAGCGAGATGGCGGTGGTCTTGGTTGGCTAAGACGACTGCGACGGGCGTGATATTATCATCCAGAAACGTTGCGAAACGTTGCAGCGCATCTCTGAAACCCATAGGTCGTACGATGCCCTGCAGTACCCACTCATGTTCTGGGATGGGGTAGACGGTTCGAACTATGGCGGAGGAATCCTAGCACTGGTGCCCCTTCCAATAAGAAGGTATCGGCTATGGATTTCTATGCGCAACGAATGATGATAATGTCCACGTCCTTCAACCACATCGTGAAATGTCGCCAACTATTCCACCAGTTCATCGTGGACATGTACGCCAAAATTGAGAGTGAACGGCTCCTCCTCATTCGACGCAATCAGCGAAAGCTGCGTGCAGACGACTACACCCACCTGCGGGATGCTGTGGCCGAAGATGGAAATGTCACCGACCTCGGGCAAAAAGTCATACTGCCATCCTCCTTCAGGGGCGCCCCACGCCACATGCACGAGTACACTCAGGACGCAATGGCCTACGTTAGAGCGTACAAGCGTCCCGATCTGTTCATCACATTTACATGACCCGGCGTAGATCGAAATTGCGGAAGAGCTCTGGTGAAGCGCCTTCTGACCGCCACGATATTACGGCGAAAGTCTCCAAACAGAAGCTCACGAAGCTTGTAGACGTGCCGACGAAAGCCACATCTACGGAGACACCCGCTGTTGGATGTACACCGTAGAATGGCAGAAACAAGGCCTTCTGCATGCTCACATCTTAATGTGGCTGAAGGAGAAGATATGCCCAGATCAAATCGACAGCATCATCTCGGCGGAGC